GCTATTATTATAAGTAAACTCAATTAAGGGGACATGATCTTCTCAACTTTCACCAAAATATAATATACATAATCTCAGAAGATCTTTTAGCATTTGGGTAGTTCTCTCAAATTGGCCATATATTAATAAGTGAAAAGCCATACTAAAATTTAATTTGTTTATGAAACCTTCATGAATTTCTTTCCATAATCTAGAAGTGAATCTAACATCCAGATGATAAATAATGACCTTGGATAATCCATGTAGTTTGAAAATATCCTTTTATGCAAAATTATGCTAGATTTCCTTCTAAATCAATATGCATTATGGGGAGAAAATGAGCTAATCATTAATTTGACAATAATCACTCATGCAATATTATAACTCTTCCTTGATCTTGGAAAAAATTATAGCAAAATCCATCATGATTTCTCCCCATTTTCACTCAGGGATAAAGAAGGACAACAAGAATCCACCGAGCCTTTGATACTCATCCTTTACCATTTGATAGGTCTAACACTTTTAAAAAACGTACATATGCTACATCACGCTTTAACCTAGGCCATCATATATTCTCTTTAGATTATGAAACATTTTACTGCTATATGGGTGGATCACATACCTAGAGCTAGATCTCTCTCCTTAAATAATCACTACCAGGAACAAATAGTCGACTTCCATAAGTCACCATACCTTGATCATCTATTCACAAGACAACTCTCTTCCCAATTAAATCTAATCAACTAGTTTCACATATTCACCATCTAATTTTTGAGACTCCTTAATTCTCTCCTACAAGGAAGGTTGAACCATCTTCTATAGGGAAGGCTTAATTTTCCACTTGTATTAATTTCTTTCTCCTCACATGTCCTTTTCCATATGAACATGATATGTGCCTTTCAACATATGAGCATAGAACATTAACATATTTAAAATATATTAATGACATATGGCATGATGCATGAATGTTTGAATGCATAAAAGTAGTACATGTAAGATAATTCCAAAATCATGCATGAGGTAGAATTTATACATACTCAATAGTAGAAATTTAGAAAATCATTCACAAGGAATATTTATAGCATCATTTTTGGTTTTTTATTATTCTATGGCACTTTCATTAAAATTAATATAATTTTTAAAACACATGAAAAATCATATAGTCAGAACCAATGACAAAACCTAGAGTTTTTCTTATTAAAATGCTCAGAACTAACTATTTTATGACATACCAAAAGTTATATGGTGAAAAGTTTTTCAAAGACATCTATATGAAATAAATCCATGCAACCTTTACCCATATTGAACAAATTGAAAACTAAAGTATGATAATGAAGCCTACCTTGAGATGAACAATTTTCTCGACTAGCCTGGTGAATGATTCCAACTTCACGGCCTCTAACCCCTAGTTTTCCTTATTTCTCTCTCTTGTATCTCAGCGGTTTGTCTTCGACATTTTTAGTGAATGGGAAATAGGAAAGAATGATGGGAAATTATGTCAAACTTATATGTTTTAGAAAATTCATAGTGATATATATATATATATATATATATATATATGAGAAAAATGCAAGAGATATCAAAGTTTATTGTGGAAAACCGAAAAAGGAAAAAAGGTATATGGATAGGCCTAGTTAAGAGAATATACTTTGTACTTCAAGTTCCAAAAGTTTGCTCTTCCTCATAATTGGATAAAATGATATTATAAAATTTGAAGCACTAACTTGGTCTCCTACAATTCTAGTAGATATTATAGGAGAAGTAATGGAGAAATGTTTATGTCAGGAAAATAATGTAATTTAGACAATGATATTTAGTTGTTGGGGAATAAACTATGGTAGGTAGGTAGAGGTGGTCATATGGTAATGGCCGAGTGATGGTAGTTGGGTGGCAATGGTGGCTAGTGATGATGATAGTCAATTTTGAACATCAAGTAGTGCTCTAAAATCATTTGTATTTCCAAGTTTCTGCAATATCAAGTCTTGATCCCTTTCATGTAAAGAGTAATGACATATTTATAATATTTTGTTTGCTGTATTTCGATAAATTTAGCCACAATTCTATACTACTCCATTGGGATCCATGATACATTATTTGATTAAAAATTATTTATTTAGTATTTAAGTATCTTATTGACTTCTAAATTAAATGATTTTAGGCTCATTAGATATTTTATGTTGAGCCACTCGATTTGGCTATAAGCATTAAAGGTTTATAGACTATTTGATCCTTCAATTAATATCCCAAAAATTTCAAATTATACATTTACATGATTGATATGAATTCATTTGGACTCGGATATCACTTTTTGTGTCATTTGATTTGCCTTTCAAGACATTCAGTTCAATTATAAATTTACTTAAATCAGACCTCAAATGATCTTAAATCTAGTTTCAAATGTTTTCAATACATATACAACATCAAGATTCATGTTGACCAAGAAATTTTTTTAGAGAAGTATAACAATGCAATATCAATTTTGTTACTCACCATTATCGCATCATGAGTGCCTCCTCCTGGAGGTTACACTCATTGACAATCATATTCCTTCCATCTAGGATATGTTCACCTTATTGTATCCCTCATTGACTGCTAGGTCATAGATGTCATGAAGCTAAAGCCCTTCAACATCCATGTTTCTCGATTATCGTTGATCAAGGGTCTTCTCATAAATAGCCCATGGAATTAGTGAATAACCTAAATACTTGAGTAAGACTAGAAGCAAAGAAGAAGGAGGAGGACCAACCAGCCTCTTTTCAAGTAAGCTAGGATCTTATTTCAATGGCCTTGCTTAGATATTATATGCTTTTCAATTATGACTCCAATCTACCACATGAGTCATAGTAATAAAAATTTAGCATTATTGTTATTAAAAAAATTTCTATAAAGGCCAAAATATAACTTTAAGGGCCAATTTATAAATAAAAAATATTTTTCGGACTAAAATGAAGAATTTTTAGTGACATGGACAGTTAAAAACTTTAAGAATTTAATGATTAATATTTATTTAACTTCTTGAACTCAATTATGAAAGATAGGTTGTTAATAGAAGAGATATTTATCTTAAAAATAATTTTTTAAAATAATTTTTTAAAAAAATGGTAAATTTGATGGAAATAATTTTTGAGTAAATTTGATAGAAGTGCTACCAATGGTAAATTTGATGGAAATAATTTTTCTTAAAATAAACACAAAAGTTTGTGTTTGAATTATTAGAAAGAAAAATAAATATGAAAATTTCATAATTTATCAATTGTTATGACTCAACATCAAATAACTCAATCATTATTACAAGACTTCTATATCTAAATCAGTCTAATAATGCGCATTGGGATTTCATGCTCGTATCAAATAGGGACAAAAAAGAAAGTGTAAAATTACAAAAATATAATTAAAAAAAATCATTGTTTTATATTTATCAATATTCACATCAAATATTGGCCTTCCGATGACCTGATTAAGAGAGTAGATGTATTAAATTTGACATATATTAAAAAGGTTAGAGATAGACCTAAACGGACTTGGTTAGAAAAGTATTAGAAATACTTTTTTTTATTAGATTTAAATGAGAATTTAATCCTAAATAGGACGCAATGAGAAAAAAAGATTCATGTAATGGATCCCACATAGTGGAATAAAAGCTTTATATTGTTGTTGTATATTTATCATTAATTATGCACATCATAAATTATCCCACAATATAAATAATTTCAAAATAAATAAAATTAAATTATATAGTAATGTAATTAATTTATGAAATTTTTATAAATATAATAATGATGATAAACTATGAGATGAAATAATTGGAAGAAATTTTATTAAAACTTATAATATAACATTTTTTTAATATCTGCATAACATAAAGTAAATATAAGTATATTATTCGACTTTTAAAAATATATAAAAAAAACAAAATAAACATTTGAAGGGTTGTTTGATTAGATGAAAAAAAAAATGCAGGGTAAAATAGAATAGTATAAAATGAAATAGTGTGTTTTGAAAATATTTGGAGTTATTTGGATGAATATGATTATTTTTTTATTTGACTTGAAATAAATTAGTGAATATAGTGTAAAGCCTCATAATAGTGGTGGCCACTCGCGGGTGGTGGCAATGATCATATGCGACAGATGCCATATAAGAGTGTAAATAAGTCGAGTCAGGTTGGGTTCTTGCTTAGTTAAACCCAACTCGTTCAATATATGTGGCTTGAGCTCAATATGAAAAGCTTGAGATTGACTAGTTTTAAAGCTTGATTTTTTATTATTTCAAATTGAAATAAAAATAATTAATTAGACTAATATATATGCCAACGTATTAATTAATATTAATCGAGCATGCTTGACAAGCATACGAGCTGAGCCATTCTCGAGCTTACATTAAGCTCAATCTGAACTCGTGGCTCGATAAATTTAACTCGCGAGCTTGTAAACAAGTTGATTTCGAGTTGGCTCATTTGTATGCTTGACTCACTACCCCACTAACAACAACGGTGGTGGTTGACAGCAGTTGGTGGCAAGTGGTGGAGAGCAACGGTGGACGACGATGGCAGATTGCTTGCGATGACTACCGATGACCATTGTAGGTTGCAATGGTCGCGGGAGGTGGCCAATGACGATAGTGGTTGCAATGATAGGTTGTAGTCGATAAAAATTGGTTGAAAATGGGATAAACCTAACGATTTTCAAATACATCAAAATTAATCTAGACGATGAATTTCAATAACTTTTAATTTTTACTCTATATTTTTTTACTTTAAAAAATATCAATATTTTCAAAACTTCAACATTTAGAATAATTTATACTCTTCAGATCAAACATCATCTAACATAATCATATAAAATTATAGGAGAATGAATCATCATATTTTTTAATATGTATAATAAAATTAGTTTTCAAAAAAAGAAGAAAATAAAAAAAAAGCTCTAAGAGCTGACGCACGTTGAAACGCGTTCTAAATTACACAACTGCCCCTAAAAAGCGGAAAAAGTTTGCGTCCCATTGGAACTTTTCGCTAGCCTCCGTGGGCTCCAGCTTGCTCAGCCTGATCTCTCAGGTCTTATCTCCTGTGCAAATTCTTCAATTCGCCCTGCCCAGTAGGGAATCGAGTATCCCCAGTCTTCTTCTTTTTCCCTCAACTTGTTTCTCCAATCCTTCTTCTGTTCTATCCCCCCTAGGGTTTGTAACTGAAGTGGCGCGCTGAGGAGGGGAGTGAAAGGATTTTTATTTTCAGGATTTTCTGAGCCACCGGTAACTCCTTTTGCGGTGCTGTTTTAAATTTGCTTGTTCTATCTGTTTTTTCTTTCTCCTGGCCTATAAATATTTCAGATTTAAGCTTTCTCTGCTGCGTTTGAGCAGGCTATTTGTTTTTCTGTTATCTGGGATATTTATAAGTCATTTTGGAGCATGTGGTTCGGTTATTTTCGTTTTCTTCTTGGGCCAGTTTTCATTTTCTCTTTCACTGTTCTATTTTTGTTAGGATAATTCATGCCTCGAATTCAGCTATTTCTTTTTTAACAAGCTTTTTTACTTTAAAAGTTGATGGAGATTTAAGAGAGTTAGTTAGGAGGTTTTTGGAAAATGAGTATCTTTCTGCGTTATTTTACCCGCCCTTGCTTCATAATTTTTCGGGCTGTGCAATCCTTCTTAATTATTGAAAATTTTGAATAGCGATTGCTGATTTTAAGGCATGAACCATGGAAGGTGAAATATCAAGCTAGAGATGGAAATACTCTGACTGAAATCTGAATTTTTCTACATATTCATCTTTGGTCCTCTGCTTCCTGCTATTTCGGAAAAGAATATGCATAAAGTACATCATTGAGAACACTTTTTTATCCCACAGAAAGTAAACTGGAATAATAAAGTAATTTGACTTTATTACTCGGTCGAATTTTTGGAAGAGTTCTGTATTTAATAATCAGAGGGATAGAGTATTTAATTGCAATAAGTTGGTGGATGTATCCTTTAGAACAGAATCTCACAAATTTACCAACAACAGCAACTAATAAAACGCACCTGAATGAAAAGATGCTTTACTTTGTGCTCCTTTCACATTCTTCATGGTTAAAACATTATTTTTTAAAGATCGAAGTTATTGGAATAACTCGTTTATGTTGACTTATTTAATTAGATGATGATGGAAAAAAATAGTTAAATATTTAATTTTTTTCCTTTTTCATTCGATATTTGTTTATCCCATAGATTCTGACATATCTGTATTTTATCTGAAGAATTCTATCTCCTTTCTGTGGAAGGTTTGTCGAAGGTTTTCTATTTTTCATCAAAAGCTGTTCTATCAGAAAGTGATCCCTTGATTTTATCTATTGTCCATCTGATTCTAAGAAAATTACCATGGGCTGTCTTTGTGACTTTTGTGGGGGGCAAAGACCAATGGTATATTGTAGATCAGATGCTGCGTCCTTGTGCTTAGCTTGCGATCGCAATGTTCATTCTGCAAATGCACTATCTAGGCGCCACTCTCGAACTCTTTTATGCGATAGATGTTATTCACAACCAGCGAGTATTAGATGTATTGAAGAGAGCATTTCACTTTGCCAGAGTTGTGATTGGAATGGACATGGGAACTCCACATCATCTTCAGGACATAAAAGGCAAACAATTCGCTGCTATTCAGGTTGTCCATCCGCGACAGAGCTTGCCAGAATATGGCCCTTTGTTCTGGAATTTCTTCCAGTAGAAGATTCTAGCTGTGAGCAGGGAATAATGGGCTTATTGAGCATCAATGAGAACAGTACCAGTACTCATTGGGGACCCCCACAACAAAGTAGTACTTCTGATATGGCAGATATATGCAGAATGAATGATGTGGAGAAAGTTAATACAACAAATGTTCATATTGCTTCTTCGTCCATGGGTACTGCAATTCCTATGTTGTGCAAGACTGATCAACCAGCCGATTCAATTGATTCAACTACACCTAAGGTGCATGAAATCTCTTCAGTATTGTTGTTTGAAACAATTTTTCAATTCAATATCTCATTTATCTATGCTTCCTCCTTAAAGATTCTTTAGTTTAAGACTTGGATTGTATGACTTGTGGAGTGAACAAAGTACACTATTAAAATTCATATAGGCTTTTCCTTTACACAAAGAAGTTAAAAGCTAGAAATTAAGTACACATATCCAAGGTATTGAACACTATGTATTGGGTATCACTTGATCAAGAGGTTTCATTGGGACGAAACTTGACAAGAAATGCCTAGAGAAACTTCTCAATGCATGTATATCAAGCTAGTCAATGGAGAAGTTGTCCTATGTATGGACATAAAGTACTCCCTAATGCTACTTGAATGTAACCACTATTTAATTTCCAAGAGTTGTAAAAATGTTTCTGCATTTATTTGACACTCCAAGTAAAAATTGTTGAGGAATTTCCTTGAGGTCAAATATTTTCTCACATAGCAGTCTCCTTATATAATTTGGCTCCCTCGCTAGCAGCCCGAACTTAGCCGTGAGAAAGGTGGTGTTCAGGAGCTTCTTTGACACTATTTGTATGACTTAGCCGTCAGTCATGATGAATTGCACAGTTCTAGAATGGCCATCCACTTCAAATATATTTATGTGCTTGAATTTTATGCAACTATGTCATAGAGTACCAAATTTTTATTAACCATTTGCATCTACTAATTTTAGAAAAAGATTGACCCATTCACTTTAGGATCGCATGATTGATCTTGGAAGTTGTTGCGTGTTATAGCATTCACGGTGGTTGAGTTAGAGAGTTTATTGTCTTAGTATTGTACAAAAAATTAACATAGTTAAAAAAGGAGTTGAAGAAACATCCAAGTTTTTGTATGAAAAAAATTCAAAAATAGAAAAAAAAAAACATGAGGCCTATCTCTGTTGAAAAGATTTCACTAATATTTGTTATTGGTTATAAATGATGCCCTTCCATAGAGGGAAGTGTTGATATAATGTGGTAAACATATTACATGGTGAAAGTTGAAAGAGCCCTACAGTATGTGAGCTAATTTAAGAGATAATTTGCTTGTTTGTTTGGTCAAACTCCTTTGAAGAGGGGAGACTAAGGACTATGAAATCCAGCATAAGTCTTGGAGCCGTCTTCTACTGACGGTGTGCATCATGTGCAAATACATGATTTGAAATTGTTAATGATGATAGGTAATAGGCTGTGAGCGTCGGTGTAGCAAGGCAACAATGGTAAGAGGACTGTGGGTTGAAGGACTGTAGTTGAGTGATGGTGGTTGAAGGATCATAGTTGAGTCATATTGTTTGAAGGATTATAGTAGTGTAATGGAGTTTGGAGAACTATAGTTAGACAATAGTGGTTGAATGACTGTAGTCAGGCGAGAATGGCTAGAGTATTGTAGTCAGATGATAAATGTTCAAGGGTTATAGAAGGGTGATGGTGGTAAGAAAGCCATAGTTGAGAGATAGTAGTCGAAGAACTATAGTTGGACGACGGTGATCAAAAGGTTATTGTTGGGCTATCATGGTTAAATAGATGTAGTTGGGTGATGGTGTTTGAAGTGCTGTAGTTGGACGATAGATGTCGAAGTATTATAGTCAGATGATGGTGGTCAAATGATTATAGTTAGGCCATGACAATATACTTAGTGGTCGGAGAATCATATATGGAGGTTGTAGGACTGTGGTTACGAGACAATGGTCAGAGGATCATAATTGGCCCACAGTGGTCAGAGGATCGTAGTCAAATAATGGTCCAATGATGACAGTCGAGTGTGGTCTAATGAAGACGGTTGACTATGGTCCAACGACAACTATCGGGTAGTGGTTCGAGGATGGCGACTAGGAGATGGTCGAATGACGGTGATCTAGCAGTGGTCAAACAACAATAATTAGACATTGTCTTAGCAGTGGTTTGACGATGATGTGTTGGCACTGGTCTGGTAGTGGTCAGACGATGGTGCTTGGCTGGAATTATATGATTTTTTTAACTTCTGACGTCTCTTGAATCTTAAGGTAAGGTCCAAGCCTTCAGGTTTCTTCCGATCCTCTCTCATATAGAGAGTGAGAGCTTACTTATAGATTTTTGAGAATGGCATGTCCCATAGATGTTGCAAAAATCCTAATCACTCTATCAGATGACCCGTATTTATTCTCTTGATTATAGATTGTTCTGTAGACATTTAAATGCCATGTGACCAAATCATCTAAGGCGACTCTCTATAATCTTATCCTCCATAGGAGCTACTCCAACCTTTTCACATATATGATCATTTCGTATTCCTTCTCCAAGAGTAAAAAAGTCACTCATCCACCTAAGCATCCTCATCTCTGCAACACTTAATATTATGCTTCTCTTTTAATTGCCAACATTCTGCACCATAAAGCAGTGCAGGTCACTCCACCATCTTATAGAATTTTCCCTTAAGTTTGAGGGAGACTTTTTTATCACATAAAAGCCCGATGCTTTCCTCCACTTCAACCATCCAATTTGAATTCTACTAATAATATTCCCATCTATTTCACCACCACTCTAAACAATAAACCCCAATATTTCTAAAACGTGTACTCTTATTAATGACTTGATCTCCCAAAGTCACTATCCCCCATTAGATCTATTACTATTAAAATTACACTCCATATATTCAGTTTTAGATTTACTTAAATGAAAACTTTTATACTCTAAGGTTGACCTCATTATTCAAGTTTACCTTCAACTCCCTCTCTAGTCTTATCAACATCAAGAATACTATGAGTAAAAAGCATATACCACTCCTAATCTTCCTCACCAATAACTAATTCATTATCTTTATTTGACTTATCATCCATTTTTCTTATTAGTTACTCATTAGCATCATTTATATTATTTAATGAAATATGATCAATAATATTACGACGTAAGAAGATAACATCATCTATCATCTAAAACTGATTTTCCTTTGGGTGCTTAATATATGTAACTATTGACATAAATAAGACTTGTAGCATATACCAGGGTACAATCTCTTGCAACTGTCCAATGAGAACATCCATGAATAAAGCAAAAAGATAAGGACTTACAATTCTATAATCAAGAGTGATGTGTATGCTGAAAGATAAACCATCCTGATAGTGAAAACAACCAGTGATGTGTACGTTTAAATCCTCAACACCTCAATCATGTAAAATTCAAAATATTACATTTTGTTGCAAGCCTAATATTTTTAAAGAATTAAATTGGTCATCTTGAGAATTATTATCATAATTATAAGTTTAAAAAGTGCCATTTTTTCATCAGAATCATCATTATATCTCTAATCATAGTATTCTTTGCACCCTCCACATCTTCTTATTCATTTGTAAGTGTTTTAAACTTAGACGAAGATTAATTCTCTTTGCCTTTAGATTACTCTCAAATATTATAATTTCTTTTATAGACACAACTGGCTTTTGCAATAATTTTTCACTCCTAATTTTCCTCACCAATAACTAATTCATTATCTTCATTTGACTTATCATCCATTTTTCTTATTAGTTACTCATTAGCATCATTTATATTATTTAATGAAATATGATCAATAATATTACGACGTAAGAAGATAACATCATCTATCATCTAAAACTGATTTTCCTTTGGGTGCTTAATATATGTAACTATTGACATAAATAAGACTTGTACAATAATGAAAACACTTGGGCTTACAAAGCTGATTTCAATTATGTCTAAACTTATGTTGCTTAATATATAATATAACTTAAAGAAAATAATTTGCAAACTAAGCATAATAAAAAAAAGCCTTTGACAAAGAAAATAATAATAACTATTTTTAGATGTTTCCAGTGAATTTAATTAGAAGTGAAGAAATGTCTCAATGTCTGATACACGACATTGATGTCCGATTCTCGACGTCCTAATATTAATAATTTTAAGTGCAAATTTTAGTTAAATGACTTATTATTTCTAAATTATTTTTAATATTATACTTATTCAATTTTTATGCATTATTTTTTAAATATAAAAAATATAATACCATGTACAACCCGTGTCCGTGTCTTATATTTTCAATAATTGACTTGTCCTGTGTCCGTGTCGTGTTGTATTTGTGTCGCCGTGTTTGTGTTTATGCATCATAGGCCCATTCTCCATTATCAAAGCCTTGAAAGCCTTCTTGCATTGAAGGCAAGAGTAGTGCATTAAAAGAGAGATCCCTCAAGGGCGAGTTATACATTAGCCCTCCTTATCCATAACTAGATACTTGAGCCTTCTTCCCCTAATCAAAATATCCTTGGTTGCACGTGGACCTTCAAGACTAAACTCAAAAGGCTCCATTGCTCGACACAAGGCATATCTTGTTCCTCAAGGTTACAAGCAAGAGAAATGGTTGATTATACGGAAACAATTAGTCTTGTAATGATACAATTCATAACTCTTCTCACCATAGCCATGTGCCAAAATTTGTCCCTTTGACAAACATTCACACTATGTCTACAAGGTACCCTTGGACGAAGCAACCCATGGCTGCCGATAAGGATCCTTCGGTCAGGTTAGGTCGACTATCTCTTCTGACTAAGTAGACTAGGGATCATGATGGGTCGGGACGATGGAACTATGGGACCTTAATCGGGTTCATCATCATTCCCCCCACTATTCGCTTTAAGTGCACGGTGATTAAATTCCAATTTTCAATATCAAATTTTGCTACTACTATATTCTAGATACTATGTATCTGTTCAACGACTAGCCTTAATTGGAAGTTCTCACTCGTTATTGGGAGGGTAATTAACTATAGGGGCTTGCGCCTATAGAAAACCTGAACTCAGATCATAAAGTCCTCGCAAAATGAGGGCAAAATCTCTAGGTAGTGTCATATCTAAAAACCCAATTTGCCTTCTGAAAATTTACCTTGAAACTTAAACTTGTTAAAACTCTCCTTGCTCATAAAAAGGAGGGTGGGGTGCGAATTTTTGGAGCCCACACTACTACCGTCATGGACATCAGTTGGTTATGTCATCTTCTATTGAACTTCGCATCCTAATGCAGCAGCTTTCTCTCCTTTATTGTGACAAAATCTATACTATGTCCCTCACCAACAATCCTATTTTTTTATGCCCGCATGAAACACATTGAAAACGATTATTGCTTTATTGGATAACACATCCTATCCAAAGAAATCCAAGTTTTCCACACCAACTCCCAAGATCACATCTTTACCAATGCTCTCTCAATCTAGAAATTTAATTTTCTAAGAAACAGGTTGACAATCCAACCTGGACTCATCAACTCGCCTGGAGGTAATAATGGTCACAGCTCTACATCAAGTGATAGAGAACATGAAGCAGGAAATACAGCAATCCACACATCTCCACCGCACAACAAAAACTACCTTTAGGTTATTGATCATTAAATAATAACAAAAATATTCCCATCTGTCGTACCTTCATCATCTACCGTTATATATACCCTATGATGCTGTAGAACTGCAAAATGAATAGGAATCAATCTTCTAGTATTTCCTTTCCTTTTTTCTCTTTCTGTACTCTTCTGCTTTACAGTTACTCTCAACACTAGCTAACTAACTGCATCAGTTCTTTGTCTAATTCAATTGATTTTATGTATATTTGTTTACCTTCTGATTATTTATGAAATCTTCAATGGGTTGATATTTAGATTTTTTAGCATATACTATCTTGAACATCAATTTAGATGAAGAGTAATCTTGCAGTGTATGCAACATGATCATACTTGACACAGATATGTATAAGCATTCTGATTTGAAGTGTCAAAAAGGAAACCGTAAGCAAAACATGCAGCGGTCCCTCTTCATTAAAAAGGAAGTTATAAGTATCTTAAATAGCTTGCACGATAATGGAAACGTTATGAAACATACACATGCTTATTAGTGCTGAAACTTATTTTTTCTTGATCGTGCATTTACTGACGATCAGTTTTTTTCAATGAACTATGTAGTCTAGTGATGGTAGAACGAAGAAAGTGGCAAATAGTGAAGATGATTTCTATGATGGTTTTGCTGTAGATGATGAATTGACTTTTGAGAACTATGAGGAACTTTTTGGTGCTTCTCATGCACATTCAGAGCATCTTTTTGACGATGTCGGGATTGATAGCATTTTTGAAAAGAAGGAGAATTCTGCTGCTAATTCCAACTGTCAAGGTGAATTTGTTGCCGAGGTAAATTCTAGAAATACTTTGTAGCCTTGTCTTAAAACTAATAGCTTACCGCCACATTATAAATTAGAATCACACATTCACATTGTATGGCATCCTCACTTAGGCATGACGAGGACATGATCCATTTTTACTATTTATTAATTTTGGCAATTTGGGTCTGCAGTTTTCACTATGAGTACGCTGAAATTCTGTGGTACTTGCATTTTTTTGCTTCATGTTGTTATTAGCCTTACCCACCTAGTTGGAGGGATTTTGATATAGGATGTTGGAAAAATGAAGAGCCAAAAACATGGTTTTTTATTACCTATATTTTTATTTGCTACTTATTCATTGGATTATAAGATATACCTTGGATAATATTATTAAAGAATTTATTGTCACTAGTTAATCATGCAGAAATGTTGTCCTATGCATCAAAAGGTTAGTTAAAAAAAAGCTACCGTTGATAAATAGATGAGCATTACTTGGTTCCATTATGCGTTAACTTGCAATTTCAAATTGATTGAGAAATCATTTTATTTGCATTGAGTTTAGGAATATTGTATAACACTACACATATTGATCCATTTGTGAAGGACCACTATTATAAAAGAAATGAAAACCATAACTTTGTTCCATTGTGTGTGAAATTATGAGTTCAATTGATTGGGAAATTATTTTATCTGCATTGAATTTAGGAAAATTTGATAGTTGACTCATTTATGATTACGAATAAAATTTTTAAAATTTAATGAAATGACCTTTAGATTTTCAATTTTTATCAACAAGGATATTTAAAACATAAAACTTCAATTTTTAATTTATTTCAAATAACCTTAATCTTTCTTTGTCCTCAGACTCCTTGTCTTCAACGCTTGTGGATGATCATTGGGCATCCAAACTTATGAGCTCATTGAGATGCCCTGTCGACCTTTGTTGGTATTGGCATAGCCCCTGCATTTCACTCTTAAGGATCTCAAATTTGGATTCTGCACTTAGACTTGTCATTGGGATCACGCCATCACGATAAATTTTCTTTTAGTGTTTTAGTTGGAGTAAACCTCAATATTTTCTTAAGATCTTTTAAGACAAACTTTATAAAATAGTAAGACTTTAGCAAAATACTAGGGTTCAATATAACCTAGGTAAATTACAAGGATTGGTGCAACCCTTCTATCAAAACCCTAACTAAATTATCTGGATTCCATACTACCCTGGTAAAATTACCAGTGTTTCTTTTCAATCTTGGTGAACCTATGGATTGATGGCAGCCTTGATACAACTATTAGTGTTCGAAAATCATTAGTGTTTTTAAGCGTCCTTACGTATGTAAAAGTTAAAAGTTAACAACTACTTCACTAGGTTGAAAATGTTGTCGTTCACAAATGGCTCACACTAACAGGAGTCATATACAAATTCCTTTTGGGTTATAACTTGAAAGTCCATCTTCCTAATTTTTCCATAAATCAGTTAATACTAACTTTATTTTTGGTTTCTCGTCTTGCTTCTGCACCACTAACTTTATGGTTTGGGGAGTGACATAAGCTACATTGGAGTTTTGTTTATCGTGATTGTGGAAAGCTTGATATGACTTTTGTGAGCGCTTTCGATTAATGAAATGAGCTTTTATACATTTTATTGCATTTAAGTGAACTTTTATGTTGGCTGTATTTGGAAGTTGCAGATTTGAGTGATGGGAAATGAAAAAAAGCGTTGAAAGTTCAAATCAATAACTACAAATTCAAATCAATTGTTACAGATTCATAATCAACCAATGTCCTCATTTTTCATCAATCTAAATGAGGTAATGTGCAACACCTTAAGATGGATCTCCATACAGATGGAGGTTGATCGCTCTCTGTTAACCATAAAAACACATAAAAAGAAGGTTGAATTTGTCCCTTTTGCCTTTATTCTTTTGTCTTTTTACTATAATTTATAGAATCGAGTAGCATTTATGCATCTTTTCAGTAATGTTTCTATGCCATTCATGTTTTTTCTTTTTCATATCCATATGCTTTATTTGTGTGCTCTTTACCACACAGCGCACTTATTAATTTTACTCTACTCACAAAAGTTAAAAAGTTGAAGTTTTTTGGACGGAAATTTGTATGTACATATGAAACGGTTGGCCTATGTGTTTCACTACAACCATTGCATGGGAAAAAGTCATCCAAATGCAACAGCATTGTGGAAGGGAACTTTACTCCCATCTGTGCACCCGGTTCATAAAAAAAAGTACATAATGTAGATACACTTCCCTACATTGCCGAATCATGTTGTTTTAAAGTTGATTGAACCTGTACGCTGAATCTACTGATTCACAAAATGTGCAGCCTGAAGTTAGTATTGCATTGTTGAAGCTGGTTTTTTATCCTGTGGATAACTTCTTTTTAAGTTAATTATTCTAACTTTACTCTTCTTTCTTAGGCATCATCTGCTGTTCAGGTTAAATCCATTCAAGTAAAAAGCAGCTATGATATATCTGTTGATTCTGTGATGCCAAACCAAGGGGCAAAAATAGACTATAACATGTCGATCTCAACGAAGCAAGCTCGTTCCAGCCTATCCCGAACTTTTTCTAGTTTAACTGGTGAGAGCAGTGCTAGTGACTATCAAGATTGTGGGATGTCATCAATGCTTCTTGTGGGTGAACCTCCATATCATCCGACCAGCTCTGATATCTCAATTCAGGCAATTAACAGGGATAATGCTGTTATGCGTTACAAAGAAAAGAAAAAAGCACGCATGTAAGTGATGTGCCTTTTTTAAAAAATTTCACGTTTGAGTTGAGCATTAATTACTAACTTAAGGCCTTCATCCCTATCTCTACTTTCTCATGGTCTGGCCTTTTCTTACGGCTTCACTAGTACACTTGTACTAAGTTACTGATGTTTTGTTTTTTACTAAGTTACTGATAAAATATAATATAAAATCAAAATCAATAAGCAAATAGAGTGACCTCATGATTCGAAGGATTTCTCTTCACCACAGACCCATGCTCAAATACACTTTAGTAGTTTTTAAGCATAATTTATTACATAAATCCTCGAAAAAAAAAGAGTAGTAAAACAATAAGGTACTTTTATTGCTTCTTTATTCTCCTCTTCATCTTTTAATTGTTCAATTGTCAATTTACATTCATCCCTTTTATTTCATGTTTTCCCTTTTGGGTACTTTGTTCCTCTTAGGTACTCATTAGGTAATATGTTGGCATGTTATTTTCCTTATAAGTATTCTTATTATTCTCTTAGATTTTTGCATAGTTGCATGATTTGTGAACTTAAGTATTAGGGATGTTTATTCTCTTTAGGGATTTCATAAGGATATTTGATTGGGTAATTAAACAACAAATAGCTTTATTTATTTTCTTCTCATCTTTTATTATTAAAGTCGAGGGTTTCCCCATATTTTGAGGAATCATACCCGTAAGTAAGTTTGGGTTTTCTACTTGATTTCCCTTCTTTGGCCCTTTTTTTTTATCTTTTTATTATGTTGAATGATAAAACTTTAAAAAATATACATTGTAATATTTTATTTTGATGACTAGCATATTAGGCACTCCAAAATATTCTTCATAATTAAATAGATGATATCTTTTAGAGTCTTGCTTCACTCTAGGGTTGTCTACATTGGCGCTCAAATGTTGCCTTTGAGGATGTCTGATGCCTTTAATAATATTACAACTAAGTTATAAAATGAAATACAAAAGGTAATAATAATAAACTTTTGTTTACTGTTAAGATGGACCTTTACAATAAAAACCCTCTAAATAAAAAAATTATTATTTATGGGCTATTAAAGGTTCATGAACTCGAGTGGTGACCTCTTCCTAACTCTTTTAGAGTCTACAAACCAAACATCAATTAGCATAGAGTTTTCAAGGTAGATTATTTTACAGGTATAAGTTTAACTTGGTAATTTGAACTATCTTGAGTTTGTACTAGATTTAGGGGATTGAGGTTTCCCATGGGTGCTACCCTATGTTTAATAATATGTCAAGTGTGCTACCCGAGAAAACTCTCAATTAAGGACATCACGTGCACTCTAGATTGATAGCGGTTTAGTTTGATTTTGAATTTGGGCATGTTAGTGGAATTAATGCTCATCTCGATTAAGATCTCATACTGATGTCAACCTGATTCAACTTGATGGACCCAATCTTCTAAAAACATAAGGCGCAGATGCCATGTTGTCTAATGAGTCTAATTAGCATGTATGAGTTAACTTCTATTAAGTATCCTAAGTAGAACAAAAGCACCCTACAGCATACTTGAGAATTAATTCCTAACCATGTTTGAGTTAGGATTGGGAATTCCAAGCTTACATATCTGTATTTGATAAAAAAAGTTTATGAGACTTGAGACTATCCTATTTGGTACGATCTCAGGTTAGTGGATCAGGATTTGAGAATTCTTTAATTAAGTAATCTTGTAGACTGAATTGTTAGGCTTGAGTTTGGAAACGTTCAGTGAAGGGAATTAGGTTAATTTGGAAGCATCGACGAAGTCGACAAGGGCATAGCTGCCTATCTGAGTGTGCAGAGACAGGATATGCTAGTGACGAACTGTATGTAGTACTGTGCAGTAAGTAGTCCGTTAAGAGGAACATGGAGCTGGGCTATGGATCTGATACACCGTGGAAGTTATTAAACTGGCAGAAAACAGTAGAAATCTGCAGGAATTTGAGGGATGATGATGGATTTTTGATTGATAACTCGACAAGAAAATAAGATATAAGCGATCTATAATTAGAAAGGTAGATCGACTCTCCCAAACAACCTAGATGTCACTAGGAAGCCTTCAAAGTAAAAAAGAACTACAACAATACTCAAATCAAAACATGCATGAAGAAAAATAAACCCTAAAACCAGCCTTAAATAAGCTGTCAAATTTCCTCCAAAACAGATTTTTTTCCTTATTAATTTCCCTCTTTAATTTGAATTCAATTAGGAAGATTTCCTAATTGATCCTCTCCTAACATAATGAATTAATTCCTTACTGTAGCCAAACGGGCAATAAAATTTATAGCAGATTTCAGCAAGAGATGGAATATATCATGATCGCTTCATTGTTTAATGTACTTGGCACATCACCCCTTTTTGCTAAGAGCATTTGTTTATTATTTGTATTGATTGGCATGTTTTTAATTCCTAATTTCTAATGAGTTAATGTACGCAGGGTCAGTATTGATTTGTTTGATAAAGAATGCATGAGTATACTCGCTATAACTAATTTTAAAGCTAGTTTGTTACTAAAACAGTTGAAATTAAAACATAAACAATATGTTTTAAGAAAACATGTCGCTTAGATGATGTGGTCCTGTTGCTTTGCTCACCTTTACGGTTGCTTGCATCAAGGTAAGTCCATGTGGTTGAATGTTCCACGAGAGGACTATCTACAAAGAGTTCAATATATATTTATGACCCAGGTTAACAATGTTTGAGCAAGGAACTAGAACCATATTATATCACAAGATGTAAAAACAATCGATGATGTCATATTATTATAGAATTAGAGAGAACCAATTTGTATTTAGCTTGAAGAAAATTATTTATGGTGTGGATTCTCTTTCTTTCTCATCATCATAAGCCAGTTCTGAATGTCTGCAAATATATCCGCAAAATCCGTTGTGAAAGTATTTTGTCGAATATAGAATTTTTGAAAATTGTTACAGGTATTATAATAGAAAAGTTGAATAAATTCTTTTTTATAATTATCATACTCTAGCTGTTCTGATTTAAAAAAAAAAAAATCTTCTCATTATATGAACTTTCAAAAAATAACAAAAAAGTGTTGCCATAGAGTAATGTGACAGTAATTTGTAAACTAAAATGATGAAAAATTTTATTTCCTTTGCCACAGCTTCCTTTCATTCCTAGTCCTTTTAACACATATTATACTGTTCCACTTCTTACAGTTGAGTTATCCTATCTTCTTACAATTTTCTTTTAACAGGTTTGAAAAGAAAATAAGGTATGCCTCTCGCAAAACTAGGGCAGACTCCAGAAGGCGCGTGAAAGGAAGATTTGTAAAAGCTGGTGAAGCTTTTGATTATGATCCACTCTCCCAAGCTAGAGCCTGATAAATCCACAACTTCGGCTTCGTTTGGGACGGCTTTCTTACGGCTTCTTAAAGAAGCTTTTTAGTACAAAAATTAAAAATTTTCTATTAAAAAGTTGTTTTAAGAAGCAGTAAGAAAGTCATCCTAAACAAAGCTTTCATCTTACCATGGAACAGACAAAAATATCCATTTGGTAGTTTTTTGATCATTGAATCTGGTAGCTTCTTTACACCTTTTCAATTTGCAAGGAACACCCAATGATACTATTCCCTCTAACGGCTCCTCGTAGGATCTTCCAGTTGAGGATATAATCAATCCTTCTTTTCTTAGTATGTAATATCTTTCAGCTATTTCTGTTCTATTCTTCTCCTTATGCCTTGATAGGCGTCATATGTAAATTTTTGTTTCTTAAATGTGAAAATTTTGTAAATTATAGCATCTGTTTTATGCTAAAAGATACCAATTTGTATGCGTTCAGCACCTGAGATAACTATATTTCTATAGGGAGGCTTGAATAAGAACTGTGAAGTTGGTCTTCTGTGTTCTTGCTGCAGAATGAGAGAGAGAGAGATTGGTCTTGTTTTATTGGTGCAGAATGAGAGAGACTTAATTTCAAAAGATCTGTATAGAATGATATATGTTGTTATTACAAAATTCATGTTAATATTGAATGGATGACTTGTCTATTTACAGTGCTTGTGTGGTAGTTGTAGTTGTGGGCTGTCTCAACCGCAGGCAGAACTTATGGCTTACCTTTCTGTTTTAAAAAGAGCATGCACAATTTTTTTTTTTTAAAGTTTTGAGATAAGATGAAATTGATGCGTTTTGGACGTTATTTTTAAAAATAACTAGTAGATTAAAAGAAAAATGCAGGAAAAAATATTAGGATTGATTTTTGATTATCATTGATTTATTATTTGAGAGATAGACTTGCTCTCTACAAATTCTAGGTCCTGTTAGGAATAATTCTAAAGAAAAATTATAGCAAATACAATTGTATAATGAATATAAAATCATCCAAATAATTTTAATATAAACTTTTTTCCAAAATTTGAATTTAAATTAGTCAATTTTTTTATAAATAAAGTTTTTCTAATTCCCTCCCAATCAAATTAGCTATCTTTATCTAAATAAATCTTTCTTAATTCCCTTCCAATTAAATCATGGGCGTATCAATGCTTTCCCCCAAAGATGCATTTTGTTCTCAAGGTAGAAGGATATGATCTATCTCCTGATTATCTTGTATGGCTTCCATGAGACTTTATACGACTTTCTCGATGGTGCATCAGCAGTCTTGTTCTACAGTCTTAAGCAATATTGGATCTCAAAATTATATCTAGGTAACTTGGATAACAACCTCGAATGCTCCTCATTCACCATATTTTGCTCCAATTGAAACTTCAGGCTCCTCTGGTCTGTCATGATGATAAAGTGTTGTCAATAAATATGGTCTTAACTTTTAGATGGCTAAGACAATTGTCATGAACTCTCGCTTATACGGACTTGAGCCTCGCCCTGGTTGTGAGGACCTAGCTAAAATAGGCAATAGATTGATGATTCTGGATGAGTACAACCCCTAGTTTGTATCTTGATGCATTCGTCTCCACATCAAATGATCTATTGAAGTCAGGAATTGCTAATATTGACACGCTGGTCATGGCTTTCTTTAACTGCTTGAAGGCCTGTGTTGCTTCTTCCATAATTGAAATTGTCCTTTAGCTACTCCATCAATGGTCATGCTATCATGCCATATCTTTTGGCACAACCTGACCCAATATGACCTGATTCTTCACAGGTCACATAATGTTTGATTGTAGCAAGACTGACCCCTAGATCCAATTAGAGAAGTGAAAACAATTTAAATTTATATATTTATAAAGACACTATTGAACATAAATAAAGTGGAAGATTATATCTAAAAAAAGTTAATTTTTTATTATATCATCCAAAAATACATGTATAATATGAGGTATTTACAACATCACTTGAAAATAGACATCACAACCAAATAAAAGTCAAACCTACAAAATAAAGCTAACCAAAAGGCTATAACTACAAAACATATTTGAGCATATTATTCAAAGCTACTCAGCTCGCTTCTTACAATTTTTCCATTGCCTAAAAATTACAGCAAAAACATGAATGAGCTAGCTCAGTAGGCTATCTTAGCCTAAAATAAAAATTAATAATTTAAAATAAAAGGCTGAAACTACTGTGCTATAATTGTAAACTGAAGTACTATACAAAAATCTAAAACTAAACTTCATATAAGTATTTAAAAGCATTTAAAATGTAAACAAATATTTCATAGTGATTATAAAAATGACTTTCAGCCCAAATCTCATATATCTTCATTAACAAAATCCCGCCTCGATAGCCCACTAGCTCTGTCATAACATAATTCCACCTCGGTAGCCCACTTGCTCCAGCATAATAAAATCCTACCTTGATAACCCACTGGTTCTAACATAACTGAATTTTACCTCGTTCATCCACTGACTCTGACGTTCATCCACTGACTCTGACATGTCATAATCCTCCCTTGGTAGCCTACTGGCTATGACATGATAGAATCCCACCACAGTAGCTCATTTACTCTGACATAACAGAATCCCACCTTGGTAGCCCACTAGCTTCAACATTATAAAATCCTACCTCAATAGCCCACTGACTCCGACATAACAAAATTCTACCTCGGTAGCCCAATGACTTCGGCATAACATAATCTCACCTCGGTAACCTACTAGCTCCATCATAACATAATCCCACATCGGTAACCCACTAGCTTCGGCATAACATAATCCCTTCTCGATAGCCTACTAGATTCAATATAACAGAATCCCACCTTGGTAGCCCACTGACTTTGACATAATAAAGTTCCACCTTGGTAGCCCATTGACTCCAACATAACAAATCCTATCTTTTATAGCCCATTGGCTTTGGCATAACAAAATACCACATTAGTAGCTTAATAGGTTTGACATACCATAATCTCACCTTGGCAACCTACTGGTTCTACCATAACAGAACATCACATCAATCATCTCACATTTATTTCACCATTATACATATTTTTTGATGTATTTCATTAATTCAGGAATAATTGGACTCAATTAAAAAAAAATGCAAAAAATGCCTTAATGGTAGGCAACATTAACATTCCTGAGTAAAAATTTATAGTTTTAAAATATAATCAACTTACTAGAGATCGTATAAAATATTATTTAAGACTTTAATAATACCACGCCACTATTTTTTAGAGCCCAAATTATTTTCTATTTAATTAAAATCACACAAATTTTAAAACCCATGGTGAATTTTTTTTTAATAAATATTAAAAATATTCATAATCTCTGTCTTTCTAACATATAAAAGTTACACGATAAAAGTTTTATTAATACAAAATTATCCTTATTTTTTGGTAATAGAAATATCAATTTTATCATAAAAATCCTAGAAACATCGAATCATTAAAAATTGAAATAGGTAAAATGCAACCACCTTCAGACGATTAACATTTCCAACTAGCTTGATCGCTAAAAATGATCTGAAGCGGCTTAAAATGGATTTTCTCTCTATAAACCCCCTATCTCTACTTCATCTTGCTACATGTGATTGAATGAATGGAATAATAGATTTAAAATATAATTAAAGTGTAGTTAGAAAATACTTCCAAACACATACAAATGAGTTTAAACAAAAAATTTCTAATAAGTTACATATTTAAATCAAGTAAAATTTGTTTGAACTATACACTAATCCTAGAGGTCTTACACCCTCGCACAAACTTTTGATAGTACACGTGAGACCTAAGAATCCTCTCAAATCCTTTAAGTTTTTTGGTAATGGCCAATCCAATATAGTATTAATCATGGATTGGTTTGTTGCTACCCTTACTCTGCTCACCACATGTCCTAGGTATTCCACCTATGATCATACAAAGGAATATTTCTTCAAATTACCATACAACTAGTGCCCCCTCAAAATATCCAATACGCTCCTTAGGTAACCCACATGTTCTACTTTTGTATGACTGTAGATTAGGCTATCGTCAAAAAATACTAAGATGAATTTCCTAAGATAAGGGTGAAAAAATTCAATTCACGAGGGACTAAAAAGTGGCTAAAGTATTCGTAAGGTTGAAAGACATCACCAAAAACTCATAGTAACCATCATCAGTCCTAAAGGCTATCTTGTGCACATTCCCCAACTTCATTCTGATCTATTCATACCCAACTTTAGTTTAATCTTCAAGAAGATGACTGCCCCAAATTGCTTGTCCAATAGCTTATCAATTACGGGGATAGGAAACTTGTCCAACATAATTTCCTTATTTAGGGCCCCATAACCCATACAAAATCTCCAAATGTCACCCTTCTTTCTCATTAGTAGAGCTGGACAGGAAAAGGAGCTTACATTGTTCCTGATAATCCCTACCCCAAGAATAAATCTGAAGAGCATCTCTATCTCATCCTTCTAAATAAGCAGGTTCCAGTACAATAAGACGTTGATTGAATAAGCAGGTTCCAGTACAATAAGACGTTGATTGAATAAGCAGGTTCCAGTACAATAAGACATTGATAGGAGAAGCTCCCTCTTTTAAGGTATTGGCGTGCTTGTGCTTCATGCGTAGCGATAATTTGTTAGGCTGCTAAAAAACCATAGGAAAGTACTATAGAAGTTGTCATACACACTTAGGGACCTCGACTAGCTCTAAATCTCATACATCCTCCAGGCTTTTTAGTTTCACTAAGTAACTTAGCCCTGCTCCCTATATCGCCTTTACCCTAATTTTGAGTGAAACCATGGTTCTGTATAGGCATCTATTTGCAGCACCACCAACTTTCCCCCAACTTAGATCTCTATAGTCAAAGATTTCTAGTCCATCTTCACTCCTCAATCATCTGTAACAACTTCATCCTTAGGATCACATAAGTGCTCCCTAAATTCAAGGGAAGAAAATCCTCCATTATATGTGTGAAACACTTTTAAAAAAAGTTTTTTTTTTTTTTTAGAATTTTTCAACTTAGAACAATAAAAAATTATTTTAGAAGTCATTATAAGTCCAAATCACAAATCGTCTTCATCGTAGCATATATATTATTGTTAGCTTCCCTATTTTTTCCATAATTTTTGGACACTATTAAAATTTCTTAAGAAATTGACACATGTCGGTACAAGTGGGGTTTTTAGGACAAACATGTGTCCTTTTTATAAATCAATTTCACTAAACTTTTCTAAATAAAATGAGTTACTTTATGGATATTTTTTCATAATTTTTGGAATTCTTAAAAGAATTTTTATGAATTTTATACTAAAAATTTGATAATAATAATAATATTATATATTATTTAATAAAAAAATATAAATATCTTAAGCCATTATGGCTTTATTAAATGCCATTTTTCCTTAATGATTCATTTTTGTCAAACAAAGAACTACTTAGGATTTAGGGAAGAAAGGGAGGAGAGACACAGAGGGAAATTACAAATTTGGTTACTTTGAGCCATTTTCATCCATTGGCCCAGTTAGAAAACT